AATTCTTTCGCGATAATAATATTTTGAATCGTCGAGTTGAAAAAATAGTTTTTATATCTAGTGGCGTGATGGTGAATGACTAAGTTTCCCTTATGCAATTGGTTAGAAAGATGTGAATGCAGGGGTGAAGGTTTTTAATACTATACTTAAGGTTTCAATTACGCCACCATCATCAATAATTGTATCACCACGGGATTAAATTCGCGGGGTGGTTTAAAATGCTTAAGCATACCTAATCATAAGTTTTCGAGCGCACTTATCGTGAACTTACGCAATTTTTCCGTCTGCCCTAGACCGCAATAATCCGACATGCGGTAAAGAGTGATCGTTTAAAATATAAATGTCAAGACACAACGGATTTTTCGGTTTGTAATGTAATTCGACGTGAAATCTCTAGAAACTCGACAGGGAACTATTACTGTAACTGTCAATATGACAATATATTTTTACCGATACCGATAAATAACGTTGAAAGCGGCGAGAGTGTGAGAAATTCTTTGAGACCGTGGCATATGGATAGGTTACCATAAATAATGTAACTGCAACAGTGGCAGCTGCAGTAGGGTAGTTATGTTAACACAGATCAGCTGCTGCTATCTGACCAGAGGAAAAAAGTAATGTGAATCGCATGTGCTTTCGAGGCGAGTAATAGCAAATTACTGTAAGTGTATTGGTGTCACTGGTAAGTTTAAAAAACCTAATAAAATGGGTATTAAGCGAATACTTTCGTTAACTGTACGAGTTACAGTTCATTAAATTACTTTGTAAATTGCTCTGCGCCATCGCTTCGAACAAATAAATAAGAGATTTGGTTTTTTTTTTTTTACTATTTTAGACGAAATGAGACAGGTGCACTGGCGGGGTAGTATAATGAAAACTGAGTTGTTTAACTGTTTTTCCTGCGGATTCTTCTTTTTTTTACTTTTTTACATCATATTTTAATCATAATTCATAGGCGTGCACGGGTATCTCCTAAAAATATCCAAAAGAAATTGAATTTTTTTTTATTAGTGTTTTGAGTTCAGTTTTAAATATAATAATATATTTTGTTTACAAGAGTAATTTAACCCTTCTAGTCTTTGTTTTACCTTTTTCGACCTAACTCGTGTGATTTGACACAGAATATATGCTATTCACTTTTGGATTTGTTGAAAACATTCAATGAGACACAACGTTTATTTTATTATATCTTTACCGTTTAGTACTTTTGAAGGGTTTTATTACAAAATGTCCATTGTAAAATGCTATTATATTTACTGGTGGTGATTTTGAGGGGCTAGTGCGTAACGATCGTCACGCTCTGAACCGAATAAAAGTATCAGCTTGCTTCCTTTACACGGAAATCTAGTATACCGCCAATAGACGGGTGTACGATTTCAGCCGAAAAACTGTTATAACCCAATAAAGACATCATGTTCGGTATAGTATTTTTTCTGTACATAAATGGTGTTTTTTTTTTTTCAACAAGTAGGTATCCGGGCACAGTAACCAGGTGATATTAAAATCGCGTGATAGTTTCGATAAAATTACATGCACGTAAATACGGAATTAAAGTACACACTTCACTATAATATTAAGTACCGTAATTATTATAAATACTGTGTAAATATTCGCCGAGTCTGTCGCCCGGGACGGTCGTGCAGATTGCACGCGCTCATTTTTACTAAGTCCCACACGCTATATTTTCATTTTTAGGCCCACGGTATAAAAAAAAAATAAACAAAACGATACAACCTTCTAAAATTCCTATTAATATACAAAACGTGTGTCCAAACTGTGGTCGAGTATTGATCAGTTGCCCTCAGTTGCTGTATTCGGCATTTAAAAAATGTGTACCAATATAATACCAAGTACTTTCCACCTTTTCTGCGGGCTATGAATTCATTTGATTCAAAAATGACCATCAATTATTTAATTCGTAATTTGTAAGGAACAATTAAGCAGTACGCATTCGAATATCTTGATTTTAATAAAATATTTTAAAGATGTTCAAACGAGTACATATACATTACTACGAGTATACGAAAAAAAAGCATCACTAATTGCGCATACCAAAACAAAAAAAATCTTATAAATAAATGTAAAAAATAAAAATATTAGCTCATTAGATTTTATAAAATCCGTTAGTAATTATAACTACAAAAATCTCTACTGGGGACCGACGCAGCCACTGTTGTATCTGAGTAGTTGAGAAGGTGGGCTACAAAAAGTTATTTAATTTATACCAGTAATTAACGATAAACCATTGCTAACGAAAAACGATTCCGAACTAAGAAAAAAATCTAAAATAATAGCAACAATAAAAAAAATGTACGTTTTCACGACAACAATTATTGTTTAAAAAGATTAAAATAATAAAAAATTATAAGAACAATAAAATAAATAAAAAAGGTCATATAATAGCATATTATAATGATAATTTATCTATTTATTGTATTTAGAAATTTTTTTTTATTGTACACGCAAAGCCGGGCAGGAGACAGCTTGTTATTTATAAATTAAACATTTAAAATGTTTTAACATTATCGAATTTACCGATTTTACGAAATCTTTCGTTTAATTTAGATTTGTTTTTTGACATATAATTACAATGTATGCCCGCTTTATTATTATTATTGCAAATATTTTATTAATTATTCCTTTATGTACGAGTTGTTTTATTAGTATTATTATTATATTTTACCAATACTATATAGCCGCGCTCATGACGTGAAGTGGTTACATATTTTACGTCTCTTTTATTCTACACCATATGTCGTTTTGTGGTTATGCATATGATATGTCGAGAGCGACTGGTTATTTTTGCTTTATAGGTAGTTTTGGAGGAAATTGATATAAAAAAAAAAAAATGAAGTTAATTGCGCCTCGCGATTAAAAGTGTAGCAATTATTACAACACACGATTGGTGGTAGTTCGTAGGGATTCAGGTAGCGTTGTAAAGTTTTAGTTAACTATGGATATTATACTTAAAGAAGGCCATACTATAATAATCCCAATTTTATTTTTTAAGAGAGAATTTTTCGGTGAAAACTGCGGTCACGCGATGATGGTATTGCTATCACGTTTTTCTCAATTATTTTGAAAACCACTTGGAAAATCAAAAAACGACCTCCTTAAAATATCACCCCGTGAAAATGTCCTTGTAGTATAAAAAATAATAATCATCATTGTATAATCGATTCGCTTAAAATAGATATCAAATATCGTTGTTTGAAAAAAGAGACATACCGTCCCAGGAGAAATAATTAATTAGGGGACGCTAAAAATGAAAAAGTAAAAACAGTAGAGGAGCTCCGTCCTCTGCATTAGCCCCACCCCCCTCTCGATCCGGGCACTATCTATGGGTACGGCGTTTGTAGGGGCGAGTAGTTGGTTTGTGGCGTTTCGTAAAATTAATGAGCCGACGGTGTGCTCGAAGTACGAAAATGATACCGTACAGTAAAAAAAAAAAAAAAATAAGACCACGAAACGCTTGTAGGTAAATACCTACGAGCCTTAATATTTATTGCAATGATAACGACACGTACTTACGTGTATTTTTTATGCGTGATGCACGCGACGGTCGCGAAGTTATGATAATATACAGGTACGGGGTGGTCCGCGTGCGCCGTTTGTTTTCGCCAATCGATTTTCGGGTGACGGGAATGACTGTTGCGTTATTGTGCGTGAGATATCTATTTAATGCTTTTTACTAATAGGGAAATGGAGTATTATGAGTAAAACAAACGGACATAATTCTCGCGACAGGTGGGCCACTGTGTTATGCGAAAAGTTGGAAAGGTAAAATAGTTGTTCACAAGAAAAAAAACTTGTTCCATGATAACGGGGACGCGTGCAGCCACTTTTGTAGATTGGAAAGTTAGGAATGTAGGATACAAACGGGAACTTAACGTATATCTGTGAGCAACGATATTAATAACCATTGCTAACGAGAGAAAACGATTCTGAGTGGAGTTCATGTGTCATATGTTAGTAAAATAATTATACATATGCACTAAACATTTTCTTTAATAATATTTCTTCAAAAGTGTTCTCCCGGTCGCCCGTGTTTTTTCCCGTTGTTTCCAATATATCAAGAAAATATCTGGGAAAATAAAAAAATGACCTCCGTAGAGTACCCGCCCAGTCAGATTTATTCGCAGAAAAAGTGTTGCGCTTGTAAATCCGAGCAATATTTCTGGTAGAAAAGTCGTTCACGGAAAAAACAAAAAAAAAAAATCGAACATCATTGTAAAACCATACAAACTTCTTCGCTCCATTCAGAATCTAAAAGACACACGTCACAGGAAAACCAAAACGTCCATCGCTCTGCCCAGAGTCCAAAAGAAAAAAAAAAAAACCCTGATCAAATAAACCGTAAAACAATAGAAAACGCACGTGCAGCGTGGGGGGGGGGGAAGAGCGCAAAAGACCGGCGATGTTTTATGTGCGCGTGTGTGTATAAGAAACGATGACGCGGGAGGACGCCAATAGCTCCGCGTCCGTGTTACGCGTTACGGTAACTCTGCGCGGACGCCGCCGCCGGGGCGTGGTGTGGACGATACACTGCGGCGGCCACGGAGAAGATTTCCCGCCGCCGCGGCGGCGGCTGGAAATTCAATATTATTGTCCGTGAGCGGGCGCGCGGGCGGACGGAGGTTCGCGAGTTGGCGATAAAGGGGAGGACGCGGGGAAACGGCGAGAGAGAGAGTGTGAGAGAGAGAAGAGACGGAACGCGGGGGGCGAACACGAGAGAGAGGTGGTGGGGGACGGGCGACAGAACGGGCGCATGCGATTTTTCATTTCATCGCGGAGAACGCGGAAAAAAAAAAGAATAGCGGACGGAAAAAAAAAAAGGCGCCTAGTTCCGACTTTCGGATAAACTCCCGCGGTGTGGTGCGTATACGCGTGCACACGTCGCGCCACTGCAACCGCGCGCCGCGTTACACGCCGTCCGCCGACGCAGCCGCCGCCGCCGCCGCCGCAAGTCCGAACGCTCGTGCTCGCAGTCATGCAACGACGTCTCCAGGACCCGGCGAAAACCCATCGCAGTACGTGAACGCATACCGCGGCTCATAATATTTTACGTCGCACAGGTACCCGGGCGCGCGTCACGTCACACCGGCACGGCACTCGAACGGCGCGGGCACCCGTAATATTGTTTGTTATTGTTATTAATATCGTTATCATTGCATTTCATTCCTATTGTTTTTGTTCGGCTCTTTCACCCTCGCCGCACCGCGCGTATCGTTGTCGTTTTTCGCGTTATCAGTACGCGGACGGGGCGCAATGCGGTAGTTGGTCGTACGACATCCGCGTACATTCACTGTCAATCAATCGGCGCGGTGATTGCCCGGAGAACGCCGTCCCCTGCCGCCCCGTTAAGCATTCCGCGTACACTATACAGTCGCGTACACGCCGACCGAATAATATTAATTCCGTTTACCGCAGTCCTCGGAATAGCCAGCGATGGACGGTAAAATAGCGTCGGTTTTCGAAAAATACTTTTCGCCGTCGCCGCTGGTGAACCAAATACGGAATTTTGTCGTGAGTAACATTATTTATTTATTTTTTTTTCGCAATAATTACAATTTGAACAACCATTATGACAATTACTATACGGACGCGTTTTTTTTCGTTTTTTTTTTCGCGTACAATGTGCAGGACGATTCTTTTGTCACCGTGTGTAATATTGCAAATGCTCGACGATTATTGGCCAAGAACTCGAGCGATTTCCGGGGAGGGGGGGGGTTTCTAGGCATTACAATAATATTGAACATCACGCGATCGTATGTTTTTGTTAATGTTTTCCATCCGGTCGTGATTTCACTTTTATTTTCGATTTTCAACCGCCGGTCCGTAATAAAAAAAAAAACATATATAGCCACCATACTCGCGCAAATCGTTGGTGGGACGGATTAAAGGGCTTATTCTCTCTAGAACCCAGTCGAGCCTATCCCCTACCCTAAAATCAAATAATTACTATAAGAACTCAATCAATATATTAAGCTCCCGGGATTCAAAATTATAAATATATAAATATTCGCGCCAACAACGTGGAACTACACCATGTATACATGTGACCGAAGTTCGGTTAAGTCCGTAACGACAATTGAGTTGTTATCCTAAACACGTCGTCGATTACGATATTTCGAACAAAAATACAGCAAATCCCTACTACTCATTTCGATCGGTTCAATTTGTACATACTGAAGTGTACGAAGACTGGCGAAACGAATGTATTTTTTTTTTTTTTATAAATATTTGGTAAAAAGCTTCAACTACAAAAACTTTTAGTCCAACGAATATTTTGTTTTGGGTTAATGCGTAGGCACCATGTACACGGGTACTCGGGGGCTTGAACACTAGTCGGAAGATTTTCAGTGTGCAAAACTCGCGTTATAGACATTAATAGACCAGATGGTTTAGAATAAGGACGTAATAATATAAATTAACTATAATTATAATTCTTTTTTAGGTTTTTGGAAAAAATTCGATACAACTTGTACGAAACCTGTAATGTTTTTAAGTATCGACGCTATCGTTACGGTTAAAAAAAATCGTTTTTAAAAAGACCGTAATTTTATCACTGAGGTTGTAACCTGATTTGTAACTACATATACCACAGTTTTCATTGCAAATGATTATACTATCATATGCTATATGTATTAACATAGTGAAATACACAATTTTTTTTTCTCGAGGTATAATAGGTGTTCAAGTTCATGACACTCGAGGCACCCGTTCCAATTTTTAAAACCGGCAAGCGTCTATGGTTTAGCAGAAGTGACTTACCACGGGCGACTTACCGATTTACCATAGGCGACATTTCAGGAGGAAGCAAAATAAAAAAAAAACCGTTTTCGGAATATACGGCTAAATGAGGTTTAAAATTATTAGTTCGTATTATTTATTGAAGGGGGGCAAGGGGCCCGTCAATTCCGTTCGAAATTACATCCTGAAAAACAAACCTTACACATTTCGACTTACAGTCGACTTACAATAATATTATCATCGTAATAGTTACGAAACGCTGGTGCTATATTAAAAATAACACGTATACAAGAGCAAACGCGGATATTACATCTATTTTTTTTTTCATTTATTATTATTATTATTATTTTTTTTTTTGGCACTCATATGTTTAATTACGTAACGGATTTTGCCGCGACAGGTTTGGATTCTATTCTAAAAGCGCCTTTTCGTATTCGGGTCTAGGTCGGTTTCGTGATCCGCAACAATGTCACGTTGTTGAAATGATTTCTGTTTTTTTTTTTCAACGAATCGACGAACACCTATATTATAGATAGGTCGTCGACATTTCTCGATCATTTCACGTACAGATCGCGAACCGTATTCGTTCTTTGTGTTCGTGGCTCTTTACGAATTGTTTAACGTTTACCATTAACAAGTCCGAACGATTCTTTATGAATAATTGCTCGACCGACATGACCTGAGCCGGCCGAATACAATGAAAATCGGTCGTATTCAAACTCAAATTAAATCGTTTAGAACATTATAATTTTCATTAACCCCAGTCAAACTATAAAGAGGTTTTCCTTTTCTTGCGAACGGAGCATGTCTTCGAAAACAAAAACACGGGTCACAAAAAGTCAAGGGGGGGGAGAATATTCGTATTGCACAGTAGTTTAATATACATTCTAGAATTTCGGATTTTTCGTTAATTTTACAGAGAAAACAAGGTAAAAACTATATTTCCTTAAACCATCGGGTACCGGAGTACCTATATGCATATATTAAACGCTTGCGACTTTTCTTTTCATATTTTTACGTAAATGCGCGGTTTTAGTCTAAAATTTTCGGGCGGGTTCATTAAGCATAATATATAAATCAATACTTAACAGAACCGCGCCGCATATTATAATGTATAGAACGATTTATAGTGGTGATAGTATTGTACCAAGAGCCCAAGTGTTTTTAAAAGGAGAACGCGAATTTAGACAGTCTATATGTACGTACTTACCTACATATGAGGTGTTTAAATTTATCGATTAGACCACGGTAAACGGTTGGAAGTAAATTAGTAATCCGTCGAAAATATAAATAATTCTATTCGCGTCCGGGTACCTATATAGAGAGTGGGCATTTTTTTTTTTTTTAGGTTTTCCGTTTGCACAGTCAAGTCCGTCGAACACCCAACACCCAGTAGTATAATAGATTTTGCTTACTGTGCATCTTTTATCTGGAAAATAAACTTTACATGACCGAACCATTCGATTTTGTACCAAAATATTTTATTTCCCGACAGGAAAACACTCGCTGCTGGTTAAGGTTACCAGAAAAAGTCCAAAAGTCAAGGGTAAGGTTCGGTTAATGTTTGCTTGCGGAACTTTCATCAAACAATAAAATTCCCAGTTAAGTGTGTAATAATGTAGAAATTCGAATATTGACTCTTATTACACCGCTCGAAAATAAGAACACTTCGTGAGACACTCGACGTAGATTGGTACCTATAACCCACCTATAATATCCTACATACAAACAGACTGAGATAAGAATTCAATTTTTCCGCGGTAAAAACAATACGCCGTAAGCATCTATGTTTTTCGAGTGTCTATACACAATTCGAATGATAAAACAAATATACGGGGTGGATTTTTTCACCGAAAACACTTACTGCAGTTAACTGCACGGTAGTGTTGTTATTATACTGTTGAACATTTACGGCGTTTTATTATGTGTGTTTATGGTTTCATATGAAATTGTATTTATTTTCGAATTTTTATTATATTTATACAGCGAACCACGCCTAGTACATTTTTCGTGAGACGGTATAGGTAATAAAAATTAATACATATTTCGGAATCGTATTATGTTTTACGTTTAAATCAATCGCCCTGTACGCGTATACGAAATTTTGTTTCGACAACCACACTGGATATCAAATAAACATTAAACTATCATTATACCCGACGGTTATACGACGAAAGCAGTTCTGAAGACAAGTCACCGTGATATTTAAGAATATCAAATGCCTTTGAATATTTGTTTTAATACGAAAATAAAAATACGTATTTTTTCAGAATCATATATTATAATGCATATATTGTAGATACGTATTATAGTGACGTGGTGAACTCGACATTTTTGAGATGCAAATATTTCGTTGGACCATATCCATTTCACTTTATTCAACTAAAGGAAATTCCACTCTTTGAATATGTTTGAAGACCATAGAAACAAATAAGTTGAAACTCAAAGCTTATCTCTTTTCTGGATCCATACACGATAATAACCCCTCTGAAAATGTATAAAATGTTTACATCCCACTGTTTCGGCCAAAAATAATAATCTCATCGTGAATCGTTTTGGTTTTGGCTCCCTCAAACCGCGTGTGTGGTTTAAACGGTAAACACTGAACAATGAAGTGAACACATATTATTTATTATTATTGTTGTTGCTATAAAATCAATAATCAATCATTTTGTAATTCATAATAATTTTTATAATTATTCAATTTTTATGTCGAATATTATTTAAGCACCTACCACCATATTTTTTGAAAATCTCCTAGGCAGTTACTTTTAAATAAGTGTTCGCCATGCCACTGGATATGAATGACAACGACATAATTAGTACAAATAGTGGACATATAATTATTAGCCTATATTTTTTGAAAACCGTTCAGCAGAGCAAAAAACTTCTCGGACTGCTTTGTGAACCACATATTCTTTTTGAATCCGTTTACATCCGATGCCTATTCGATATATTTTTACCTTGAATATTATACACCTGGAATTCTCATTTTCGCCGAACGCAACTGGACACACGATCGATTATTATACAGTAGATTATGAGTGTAGTCTTAAAGCACCATCGAGTGGCACCGTATTTATCTCAAAACCGACAAAAAAAAATGATCTACTACTTTTCACCCTCTGTGCCATCCGTATATAAATTATATTTTCTACAGGAATAGTTTCTCGTTGGAAATAAGAGTATCGGATATAGGTCTTATTTTAAACCAAACTATACACTCGTGCTTGTGAAATACGCTTTCGGATTTAAGAAAATCGTTTCTCTAACAAATACCTAGGATTTTCGTTCGATGTACTTGTACACTGGAAAAAATATTAAATTATAAATTGAAAACCGTTGCGAAGTGTTTAAAATTAGTTTTCTCGTTCAACGCGTGAACAAAATTAAATAATATTATCCTATATGTAACGTTCTTCCTCTCGAAACACGAAAAGTCACGTCAAAACGAAAAACCCATTTTTGAATGTTCCGACGTCAATCGTTTACATTTGACTCTGACAGTCAAATGTACGGTTTTGCAACAGAAAAAGTTCCTCTCTCTGCGTTATAGTCGAACGTGTTGGTGCGTATAATTTGTTTTTGTCTTTTTTTTTCAAACCATATGTGTATATAATATATATTTTTTTTTTCACATTCGTTTTATCGTGTTACTTTTTACGTTTGAGCGATATCACTGCAGAGACTCGTTCGATATTGCGCAAAGTATTTTCTCGCGATTTACTTATTACATTACTATAAATGAAGGGTAAGGAATGAGAAACGTAGAAGTCCATTTATGAACACTGTTCAGCAGAGCGAAATTCCTTCCCCTATATGCACTACAATCTCTTTATTTACCCGGTAAAATCTATACATCAAATAGTTGTCTTCAATATTATCCGACTGAAACATTTTTTCACCGAATGGATATCAACGTTTGAAAATAGTCTCAAAAAACTCCATCGGACGGTATACTATTATCTCAATATCGAAACAAATTTCTTCTCCATTTTCCCCCGCGCTCTTTAAATAATGATCAATAATCTTACTGCAACATTACGTCAATATTTATTTGTAATAAAAGTGACTTTTCAATGAAAATAACGCGTAACTTCTAAAAATATATGTATTCGTGGTAAAATTATACTAAAATATGATAATTACTACTACTTCACGCTTTAAAAAAAAAAGGTTATCGTTTTTTTAACTTATAACTTATAAGTTTTCAATAAGCTTTCGCGTTCTAGTCTTCCAGTCTGAACAATGTAGCGCGTGTATAACAATAATTTCAACACAAACAATCAAGTGCGCGTAGCTTGTAAGAAAACAAAAACTTAAACAAATGAATTAATTTTTTTGCGTTATCGTCATTGAAACACCGTCGAATAACCAATAATGCATAATTAAAGTTCCCAAAAGTATAGATAGTAAATCGTATAAATATAAACACCGTATTATTATATTATATTGTTCTACATCGAGTTGGTCGATAATATGCATGATGATTATATACGTGTCGAAACTCGCGTTGAACTCGCGAGTTTCAAAACAGCCGTGAAAATGTCATCGTAAAACATCGGTGACACGGTAATGAGAATGTTATATAATTTTGTTCGAAACAAGGTTCAATGTGTATTAAATTTTGCAGAAAAAAAAACCGTGTATACATTTTTTTTTGTCGGCTTTTTTTTTTATTACAATTTTCGCGATCCACTTAAAAATTTTCATTTTGCTCGATATTTTTTATTTTATTTGAAACAAGCAGTCCCGCTTGGCTTTGCCCGTACAATGAAAGAGTTTCCAAATAAAGTTAATAGATAAATTATCGTATTACCATAGATACCCGCACTGCGGCACAGGGATCGCACTACGAATTTTAATAACAATTTTTTTTTTTTTCATTCGTGTTACCGAAGTACTTCACCCATAAATCAACAACAATGGTTTTAAAAAAAATACACTAAAAATAGCTATAACCCGAATTTCGATTAATGTTATTCAGTAGGGGATGGATTTCAATAGCTTTTAACCTTCTCCAGACAACGTAAAAAAACTTCTTTCTCCTTTCTCCGAGTTTAAAAATATTATCTCACAGGATTGAGATGGGAAGGAGGCAAAATCCAAAGTTCCCAATTAAAATTTGTTTGTACTCGTAGTACTTGCATAGCGTCAGTAATATGCGCACTCGTTTTGTAGAACTGCGCGTGATATTATAACCGTAAAAATGATTTTTTTTTTACGCCCACACAAACGAGATCGTTTTTGTTTAAAATATTCATACACTTGCGCATACTTATAATATCCATATAATATGTTAATTTAACGATGTATCAAAATCTAGGGATTCTATAATAATACACCCACCTACGACCTAGTTTGAAGAAATGTCGAGGGTTTAAACAAGGGTTACTTATGATGAGGTTCCGACACGAACCCAGCGAGTTGGAAATGACCGATGACGAAGTAATACGACCGAACCAAACAGGAATATTTAAATTTACGGTTTTTATTTCCTTATCGGGCGGATATATGTGAGAATAACCGCTGAGTAAAGTGGGGAAAACTTCGACGGGGGACTATATTTACCGAAAATCGAGGGTTGTTTCCGAGAACTAACAAAACCTAACCAAACTTTCAGGAGACCCTTCAGGCATCACTACTACCTTAATAAAAAAAAACGTCGTGTATCACCAGAGAAAGTTTTTGAGAAAGACGTGTTTTTATATTTTGCATTTTCTGAAATTCTTAACACCTCTTACATTTTACTTTTTAATGTGTGATGCGAATAATATCCATAATATGTAATTTCACCTGATAAATGCCGTGTAATAGAAATAAATATGGATAAACAAATTCTAAAGTATTCATCTAACTTTGTATATTATAAATATCAAATATATTTATAATTCGAATTATATTTTATATTAATAGTAATTGCATCGATTACAAATATATTTTACTCGTATGACATTACGATAAGCAAAATCACAATCTATACTATTTTACTGTACTTTTTACCTAGTAAAAATGCATTTTTCGAAAATTTACTGCATTCTGTCAAAACAAATATTAATCATAGTTTTTTTTTAGGATATTAATTCAGACATACGGCATATTGATCTAAACGGTCTGAATTCTAGGATTTGTTTTATGTTTTTAATTATTTTTTCATCAATCGTTTTGGTCTTTGGCATTTTTTTTTTTACGAGGGCAACCTATTTGCATACGTTTATTCAAAGAAAATAAAGTAAAACAGAGTCTGTATAACGGAATAGATCTTCAAAAATGTATTTTTAATAAAACTAACTCGATTTTCAACAAACGGAGACGACACCGAAAACTCTACAGTAATTAATGTTCGCCATGTTTTCCGGGACCGATTCTGCGGCTTACAATTATGCACTGTGACCCTAAATTCGTACTGTATTATTATAGTAATAACGATGTTGGGTCGCGACTTGAATTTCAAAAGTACTCAAAAGGCTATAATATTATTAAGTATAACGCGTAGTTACTGCGTGATAGTCTAAATAACAAAGTATTTACCACTGTAACAATTTGAACAAAACAAAACCTAACCCGGCAACTCGTTAAAAGTCCAATGAAAACTACAGTTTTACATACTATACGGTATAAAACCACACTTGAATTAAATTAAATTAATAGTACCATTATAACACAACCATTACTGTTCATTAAAGCAAATAATAACATTTACTGAATTTAAAACGCAAATGCCCTAACGTTTATAATTTTATATAGTTACCCTGTCTAAATATTTGTCGGTATGTATCTGCACCTTATCGATAAACATGGATGACAACGTTGTAATACAGTGCCATAGCCGGGATTATCATTTTTTTTTTTTTTTTTGGAAAGGGCTTCGGTTTTTTTTCGCCAAACACTATGGTCAAAAATTTAAATTCCTACCACACTGCTGCAATGTCATATTAAAATATGTTAGATTAATTGAGTGACGTTCCCGAAAACTGACTAAACTTATTCGAACTTTCAGGACACACATCATGGAAACAAGGCTGCCAAAATACTTTTCTCTCACACAAATTTGTCCATATACCTAAATGTTATACTAATATATAATAAAAATAAACTATACACAAGTCTACAATTCCCCTTTCCAAAAATATTATCATACGCGTATACTTGTTCGATAAATGAAAGTCAAGTAAGAGTACGTTTACGCGTATAATCTTGTATTTTTTATCGTTGAATTTTTTTTTTTTTTTTTGTTAGGGGGTTAACCAGGACGATATTTCTGGCTACAGCACTGTTGTAATATATAACGATTATCAGTGAAAAATATTTTGATAGGGGTATTTTTGGAGACCTTCGTGATGAGAACCAATTAAGGGGTATTCTGTTATCTACTAAAGTCATGAACTGCTTCCCTCCGAAACTTACCTTAAAATCGACTTTTACGATAAACAGAGGTTATTAGATATATTTCCGACAACATCTCAGCGCTCCCTCCTCCTCGCCACTTCAAGGATATGTAACTAAGTAAACAAATAATTTCTACTGTTTATAGATCACATCACTGTAAATATAATTAAAGTATATAATAGTTCGTGTACGTAGGTGTGCAATATAATTAGCTGCAACCATATTATATTTTAGTCGTAAACACACGTACATGAGTACATTATACAGGGTGATCAATCCTCGATATGATGCTTATTCAGAAAGCATTAACTTTTTTCGAAATTTAAAAAAAAAAATGTATGAAACAAACAGCTTTATATAATTTGTTATATTGCCATTGCGTTGTTTTTTTTTTTTGGTCACCTTTATTTTTTGGGTCAAAACCATTACCAACTTTTGGCTTACAAATAACAACCCGGATCATATCGTTTGTGCGGTTTTCTACCCGAACTTAAAAGTGGATCGAACCAAACTAATACTGTGTCTTTTTCTTACGTGATCTTTCAGTATAACGGGCTTTTGTTTGGAAATCAAAAGTAGCCGATCGTTTGCCCCCGATAATAAAGGTGACAAAGAATAACGGTAACGTAACGTTCTAATATTACAGAGTCTATTAGTTTCATAAATCGTCCGAAAAACATCGAATAAAAGTCAATAATTTCCAAGATATGCAGCGCAATTCATTAAATGTGTTCATTCCATTTTTTTTTTTTTTTTTTTGCATGTGTTGAAATTCTGATTTTTCGAAATTTTAAGTATAGTTGAAGACGGTATTTTCGAATAATTAGATTTTTCACTACATTCAAGGAGTATTCTGTGGTGATGCCAACTATTAAAGCACTATTAAAACCTAACCGTGCTGTAATGCACAAATGATACTGAACCACTCTCCCCCAACCTAATAAACTCAAAAGCCGAATATCTCGTCAACGGGTTTAGGTAGATCAAAAATCTATTTATGGCATTTTTAATACAGGTTGTCGTTTGAAAAACCAACGTCGGTTGTGAAAAATCCAAGTATACCGCGAAAATATCGTCTTTAAATACGCTTAAAAAATTCCAAAAATCCGAATTTGAATGCAAATTATGCAAGAATTTAATCGAAATACCGGGTTGGCCACGCTTAGCGAATCGCCCTGTGTAACGGGCGGACGTGTTGTATAAGCCATTGAGGACCGATCGCCCTCGTATTAACACGTAAAACATGTTGTTGTTGTCGTTGTTTTCACCCGCGAGGTGAACGTGAACCACCGCGATAATTAGATAATTAGGATAATTAGGACACAGATAATATTGTGCTTAGAGTGGTTTGCATCACCTATCGTAACGGTTATTACGGTATTAACAACGTAGTTTGATGTACACGGTGTGTATTTAGAACCGGCAAGTAGACGAGCAAACGCCGCAGCAAAACGTAAACGCACGACCGACCGCACCGTCACCGTCACAAGTACCGCCGGCGCACGACACAAATAGCGACGCGGCGGGCTGCGCCGGAACGGCCGTCGCCCCGAAACCCACGGCCGGCGATAATTTCAATCGCGAAAAACAGCCGAAAATCGACGTACGTCCGCAGCTCGTTTTGCAGCCGGCCGATAGAAACTTAGTGCACGTCACCAAAGCACAAATGAAAGGTGAAGCACCGCGCGATCGATAATAATAATAATAACAATAATAATTGAGCTTAGGAAAAAAAAGCAAATGAAAAAAAAAAGCGAGTGGTAAAAAAAAACAAACAATATATTTATTTTACATATTATAATATAAAAAGCAATATTATTGATCAGTACTACATGTTATATAGTACCATATACCAGATACCTACGCCATATTTTAATACCATTGACTATATATTATTTGTATTCAACAATAATATTTTAAACATTTTCACAAAAATAATTATCGGAGCAAGTTATCAAAATCTGCAGTCCACAATCGAATGTAACAAAAATTACTACTAGTGTAGTGTAAGTACACAAAGGTTAGGTTAAAACATGGTATAGGTACTAGATATTAAAATATGTAATACTAACCAATATTATTTTTTTTATTATAAAATATAAAATAAATATATTACTTTTTTACCACTTGCTTTTTTTCCATTTGATTTTTTTTCCTAACCCCATAATAATTTTAGTTTCTTTCATCCCGAACGGTAATAAGGATCGTATCCGGTGGCGGATTTACGAAGGAGGAAGTTAAGGGGGGTCCGGAGAGTCTGGACCCTCCCAGACACCGATATGATTTCAATAAAATATCTTCAAAAAGACTTTTCAAGACATTTGTTAATGACATGTTTAAAATACCCGCGATTTACCTTCCTAGAAAAACGTTGAAAATCCGCCGCCGAATTCGTATTCAAACGCGTAAAGGTCATGCTCGTGTTTTTTTTTCCCAATTGTTAACACATTTACTATATTAAAAAGTCTTTCTAGTTGGTAACGATGACCAATTCGATCGAGTTTCGATTTTTGTATTAAGAGGTTTGCGCGTGACCTGTTTTTTTTTTACTCGAACATGGTCCATAAAAAAAAAAAAAAAATAGTAAATAGGTTACTAGAAAAGTAACTATAATTATGGAGCAAGCCGTATTCGATATAATTGATTATTATTATGACCAATTGATTGTACACTTTTTTCTCTGGACTTCAAAAAATTATTAATTATCATAAATTCAATTTTCGAAATCCAAGTAGGGGATACGTTCTATCAGAAATCGTCTTTCCAACGATAAATAAATTTATCGAAATCGGACCGCTCAACGAGGAGAACGACTTTTATGAGCGTAAATAGTGTTCTTTGGTAAAACAGGTCGCGCGCTGTCTCGTATCGGACTGATGCGCTATGTAAAGTTGTAACCTGTATGTTGTTGAAATTTAGAATTTCAAGAAGCATTTAGGTTATTCGACAAAGACGGCGACGGCAGCATCACGAAAGAAGAACTGGGCCGGGTCATGCGGAGTTTAGGACAGTTTGCCAGAGAAGAAGAACTGGAAACGATGCTACAGGAAGTCGACATTGACGGTACGACTACATTTAACGGTTTTAAACATTTTATACCGAATCGTTTTGCTATTTCCGGTATTGGGTTCTTGCTAATTGAAAATTGAACAGACCGAGGGTGAAAAAACGTATCGATTGAGAATTTTCAACAGTGTACACATATTTAGGTTTCTTAAATTTGTAAAACTCAAACAATGGCTCACCGAGGAATTTTTAAATCACACGCAGTTAACAAAAGTATTCGTTCGCTTGTTATTTTTGCTTTTCGCACTTTTTTAAGCTGCTCTATAACACTAAGGCACTAAAATTCCACAACTAGCCCCCTCGAGAGCACAATATGCATTCGAACACTAATATTATAGTCACTGTGCGCCACTGAAAAAAACACACAGTTCAAATCTTCACTAAAATAATAAACCGTAGAAGATTAAAATAAGAACTTTTATACGATATTTTTTTTTGTTTTACTCGTTATATCAACACTATAACCGACGACGCAAAATATCCTCATAAAAATAAATAAAAAATAAAAACGCTATTACATCGCGAACAAAGCAGAAGATTACCCAGAAAAAAAAAACGTTTAAAAGCAAATGACCTACTTTCGGCGTTACGACCCATCGGCAGTAAAACGTAATTGACTTTATGAGGATACTTTAAATCATATCACTTCCTATATCTATATTTAAAACGCCATTTTTGTTTTCAATTTTCTCTTTTGAAAGTTTTTTTTTTTTGTTCATTAAATTTAAAAACGAATATTACTAAACTAAAACTATATAGGAAATACCTGCATGCTGACGCGGACATAAATGTTTACTATAATAATAATTATTGATATTATCGTTGTATACATATACACACAGGTGACGGAGCGTTTAGTTTCCAAGAGTTTGTGGAAATCGTGTACAACATGGGCGGCACGGCGGAAAAAACGGCGGACCAAGAAGAAAAAGAGCTCAGAGACGCGTTCAGGGTAAGTACAAGTAACCGCCTAAATGCATACGTCAAAGTCGAGAACAGCTTATTATTATACCGGGCCTTTTTTAGCCCGGGGAGATTATAAATATTATAAATTATTCAACGTACTCCGAACCGCCGCCGCTGTCGCGCGAAGGTGACACGGTAGAAAAACCATTTTAGAAGAGAGGAAAATCGTGAATAATTAATAATAAATTCGCCAACCGTATTCGAGTCTCGTCTATACGGGGCTTATAATAATCGATAAGTCGTCGGGAAAGTTAGGAAAGGTACCTATATCCTAAAGTTTATTATGCACTGCGCAGTAATAATATTCGCGTTATTATGTTTCGTATAGAATATTTTCGGATGAAATATTTAACTTTCCTTTTAAACACAAAACGACTTCTTTCCTACCCCCTTCCTCTACATTTATCGTTTTTAGCGAATATTTCACGATACTTCTGTTGGATATTATGACGAGTGTTTATTAAAAAAAAAATACATTTATATTAAAGACGGTTAGGATTTTAAATGCTATATGCCTACTGGTTTTTGGTAGTATTAAAATTCTGAATTAAACTCGATAATCTACCAGTGGCGTTATTAGGTCACTAGGTCATGGAGGTCAATATTTTTTCATGTGTTCTCACTTTTTTTTTTTTTTCAAGAAGTTGGTAAATATTATAATACTCTATTGTTGTAATATTACTTATTTATTTCGAGCAGCAAAACTATCATAACGTTATCATACTCGTAATTCGTTTAAAATGAAACCAATTTCCGAATCACATATAATATGAAGGATACTATAAATTAATAGGTACTTAAAAAATATACAAATTAATAATTATTATTTTATCTGGTGTACCAATGGTTATATTTGATCGCAATGATAATATTTCTGGGCGAAGTGAATTTTAAATGATAGACTAAAAAATGTGAACACATTATAAATTGATATATTTTTTGGCGGGTACCTATACGTTTTACAATATTACACAATTTCCAAATTCAATACCTCCCTCTTTATCAGAATTCTAAATACGCCACTGATCGATACATTTTTACGAACTACCAAATTTGCCAATTCAATATTAATATTAATATTTGAATCAAACAGTTATTGATTTTATAGTAGTATATTATCATCTAAGATTACTGAAAACAAGATAACATAACATGCCTTATTTAGTTTCCGTCAAAGTGATATTATGTTTTACTTCGAAAATATACTGTAATAAGTACTATACCCAAAAAAAAATAAGTTAACAGGAGATGGACAGACACCCTGATCCGCCTCTCTGGTCCTAAAATCACGCCACTACCGTAAACTACCTCTCAACCAAAGTAGTATGTACCAACCGCTAGGGTGTCCTCAAACCGTTTTAAGTAAAGTTCCCGTTTTTCTCTTGACAATAAATCGTTTTGACAATTATTCCTAAACATTAACTTCGTCTGCTTCTTACGTATGTATACCAGAAAGAACATAAACTCGGATTAACTACATTACAATACCTCGCGTGCACAATCAATTCGAATTGTATTACAATACGAAAAATGAATCAAAATGATCGTTCGTTAGATCCTTTTTAAATCCAACGAACCGTTTTCTAAACGGAAACCGACGTTAATAATTATTATTTTGTTGGAGACGATTGTCGTGTGATGCGTTTAGATTGAATATAAAATACATATATCCGGTAATTTCGAAAATTGTATTCGTATTGTATGAACGAGGTGGAATATTTTTTTTTCCTTTGATACAATCATAGGCGCAAATAGGCAAGGATTGAGGGTGATTGGGGAAACTTAGCTTCCAAAACTCATCCCAGCCTCCAAATCGAGTTCTTATCGATTAAATACAAAGTAGATATACATAATCAATATTAATCAATATCATGTCCCTCCCTCCGAAGTCACGCCCATGAATGCAATTAAATATATATAGTTACTAATTAAAATAATTAAGTACCTGTGCGAAAGTGATTATACTCAAACTGCGTGCCATCACTTAACGAGTAAATCGGAGTAAATATTGGTACCTATAGCTACCATCACTTGACTCGAGTGGCAGGAAACACGCCGCTACACTTTAAAATATTTCTGGAGTTATGAATTTAATATCGCAGAACTTTTTCGTGGGCGACGTTTTTTACCGCATCGAAAAGTATGTTTATCGAAAGAAGAAAAATAAACCGTCAGTTTTCTACTCCCCGTCCTTGTCAATAACTATTCGGGAGGAGGGCATAACTTCTTTCCAATTATTCAAAAGAAAAAAAACTTTGTTGTATACGATTCACAAGCTTTCGCGGAATAAAATATCACGTATGTATGGATATTTTCAGAATTTTTCAAAAAAAAACAAAATTTACTGTAAAACTACTTTTACCATTTTTTACCGTACATTCAGTGCTTTTTGTATTGGTAGCTAATCGTTAAAACATTTTTCGGTTTTTGAATTAACTTTTGGACACAATAAAACCCGATTCATACTTTTACGGCGCAGCACACGACAAAAACCTCTATAGCAATGGATGTTTTGTCATTTGTCGGTGTCTTTCAGAATCAATTTAATTGAAATATTTATTTGTATGTATCTATATTATAGACAGTACAATTGATAAATAAACAAAAATAATATTTACTACATAATTATATTAGATCTGTCCAAAAGAACTCGATTACGAAATTCAAAATGTGTACTCTGCATTTTCGTAAGCGGTAGGGAAAACAATTTCACGAACATTTTGACGAGATAACTCGCACCTTTATCGTGACGAAAAAGGATTAAAAAAAGGAAAAAGGAACAAATATGCGACTATTCGGGAGAAAGATTGCAATCAAACTAATAATAGTGTAGCTGGTGTCTGTCGTTGCCCATCGGTCATAATATGTGAACTGGACGACATTTCTGTCCGTCATACCGTGCCGTACAAGACATGCGAATCGGGCCAAGTCCGACAAAAGATTTTTTTTAGTATTATTCCTACAGTATTCCAAAGTCAACCCAATGTTATAATGAATTATTTCCTTTTATATTATGAGCGGAGCGAGAAATCTATTGGTTTTTCAGTGATGTTTATTATTTTTGTATTTTTTTCCCTGTGGACAACTTTTCTACAGGCAATTTTGCTCCAATTTTCAATGATGATGCTTTTTCTGAAAAGAAATCTGATTGGGGTGGTACTTTAGGGAGGTCATTTTTTGATTTTCCAGGAGTTTTCATAATAAACTGGAAAAAAACGGGAAAATACAGGTACATAATTAAACAAATACTATATAAATGAAAATATATAATACATATATACATAATAATATATAATTATGGTAATTATTTTACCATAATATAACATATATATATTGTAGACAACGCATCACTATTGACCGATACTCCGCTCAGAATCGTTTTTCGTTAGCAATGGTTAATCGTTGCGTACTGCGAACATACATTAAATTAACCCTCTACCTTTCCAACTTCTCACCTTCAACGGTGGCCCATCCACGTGCGAAGTATGTCCGACCTCTCTTTCTTCGTGCGTAAAATACATGCCCGAGTGTACGTAATAAACTTTTCGAGAATAAATCTAAAGTACCGTAAATATAATAACAACTATAGTCTATAGTAGTTGTATGTTCGTCATAATATATACGCAACGGATTATAACGGCTTATAGTGTATATGCTATACATCCGTCATCCGAATGCTGCAAATTTGTGTGGCGAAAACTTTTTTTTACGTATACTCATTTTAACAAAACCCGACCGTTTATACCAGAGTCGTGTTGCGTTGTTGAGAGGACGTTATGTTCGCTACGCGTACTGTTAGTTTTAATATTATAATGAATTGACCTATCTTCTTTATGTTTTAACAAAAGGTCAACCCACTCTAATATTAAAACCAACAGTTAGTTGTCACTGCTGAATGAAAATTTGCTATGCCCCGTGGCTGTTAGACGGAGACAGCCCATGCGGGTAAAAAAGTCCTCTTAACATTTAAACGATCGTTACTACGTACAAAAACTGCAGCGCACTAACTTGTGGACGGACTGAAATATAAATGAAATTAAAACGATTAAGGTTTAAATTGATAATAATTTATTGTATGTACGTCGATCGCACTCATTCGATATAAGTTGCCTGCGACGACCAGCAATACACACTATTGATATACGTTTGAAATTTCGGAAACTGCAGGACGCACTATGACGTACATTTTCAATATGGTCGTAAATATTACGAAAAATGAATTATAAATAAAACCTATGTGTGACGTGGATATAATGTAAGTACCTATAACGTTTACAATTTTTCAGTTAAATCCTTGTGTTGTCTCCGCGGTTTTACTAACGCACGGCATAGCAAAATTACGTTAATTAAATGTAACTATTGATTTAACGGGAAACTCAATTTCAAAATAATTTTCACGCCAGATTAAAATGTTCAACATTTAATTACAAGGGGGAAGGGGGAATTTAGAGGCGAAATTAAACGTCGGGTGGGCACTTGTCCACCTTTGCCCCGGTATAGCACCGCCTTTGGATTACTGTAATACAGTGAATAGACGGGTTAATATAGTTTTCACTATCGCAGTAATCGTAAAACTTTTAAAATGATATTGTCTATGTAAATTTCTGGTATAGATCACAAACTTTTTATTTTGTTTCCATTAATTTTTCTTCGATAGAAACTAGAAAGTTTGTTAGTGGTTTACCACCTATATGATGTGTTTTAGATTCTGAGAGAAGTGAGGATATAAATATATCCTATGTTTAGTATACATTTTTTTAACAACTTTTCTACCAGAAATTTTACTCCGATTTACAATTGTAGCACTTTTTCTAAAAAGAAATCTGACTGGGAAAGTACTTTAGGAGGATAATTTTTCGATTTTTTCCAATAAATGGGATAAATCAGAAAAATATGTACAATATTAAACAAATGTTATTAAAGAAAATATATAATGCATATTATGTAATTATTTTACCATAATATGACACATAGGTAGGTATATTGTTGACAAAGCAACGCTATCAACCGAACTCAGATCAGAACCGTATTTTCGTTAACAATGGTTGATCATTGCTTACACATATACATTAAATTACCTATAACAGTGGCTGTACCCATTGTTCTAGGATAGCTTTTTTTTTATTTGTAAAAAAATTCAGAAATCTTACTCCAATGACCTCAGAAATGACTTCTGGCAGCCAAATTTCGTCTACTCGCGAGTCGGTACATTTTCCGATTTTATTTGTAATTTTTATTAATAATTTAGACGAACCGGGAATATCCAAGTAATAATACGGTTTATGTTATTTTCGATTTCGTTATAATTCGCAGTTAGAAGATAATCGTAGAGACGTAACATTTTCACCGACTAATTATATTATCCCTAGTTGTATTAAACCCATAATAATACCGACTTTCGGGAAAATCCCATAGTTGGATTCTGAGATGAAAAGTACAAATCGCTTCTTTGTTATAACATTGCAAAAAACCAATTGTAACGAAACCTAGTTTGAAAATCTATTTTATAAGATGATGAATGATGATAAATCACGTTTAAAGGCAATAACGCATATAACTGCAATTTAGCATCTAAGCCTCTATGTTCATTTTTTTCGCACTGTCAGTTATACAATTACATATTGTTATTAATATATTGTTGTTATCAATAATATTATTTGCCTCGAACAACTAAACAATTACGATTTTTGTGTTATGCCGTTATTGTAGCGAACTCTCGAAATATACCTACTATTGAGTACTATATACAATATTATTGCTAAAAAAAACCATTTATTAACCACTATAATTGTTTTAGATCAAATGTTTTTTATCATCAATTATGAAAATTGCTTTTTTTTTTTCTAGTTTTAACTTAAATATTGTTAGTTACGACCTATTTTTACAACGAATTCAAAGAAAAGGTGATTACGCTCTGCTATTAGGCTATATATATTTTTTTTTTAGTCACTCGCGATTTTAAAACAACAAAACACGATAATAATAACATTGTTATCAATACCCCGTCTCAGTCGTAGTTACCAATGTCATTGTCGGGTATAAACGCTGGGAAACGTAGGTACAAATGGTAGTAAATAACAATAAATGCCAAATAAGTGTCACTTATATCAATTTTTGTTGGTTGCGACCAAGGCCATAACCAGAAAGTAATTTTGCGGCGGGAGTGTGGGGAATTTAAACTAAAAATAAGTAGTGTTCTAATTTTGTCGACTGAAATAATTATCTTTCTGCAACATAATGTAACACGAACAATTTTCTGAGGGAGAGGGTTGAATCCTACCTCTACTTCGAGTATGGCCTTCTTCTTACTCAGATATTTACAAAAGTTGAACATTTTTGGGGGAAAACCGGGAATTTCCCGGAAGGCCCTTAGTGATATTGGCGTGACGTAGCTAAGGGGAGGCCAGGGTGTGCCCGCCCTTTCCTAAAATGTGTCCACCCAAAATATTCAGTGGGGCCCATTATCATATATCTGATTAATTTTTACCACCAAATATCCTACTCGATTTGCATATAGTGATATAAATTGATTAATGATAAGTGATTTACTGCCTAGTACCTGTTACCAGCTCACCATACCAGCAGTATTATATTATGTTGTGTACATCATCCGGTAGATGGCGTAATGATCAAAAATTAAATTTATCAATAAGATACAAAAATATTATAGGTTACATATGTGTAGTTATAATGTGACTATAGTTATAGTTACTACCCTTTTTGAAAAAAAAAAAAAAAATGTCGAGGCGGCCTCCCAAATATTGACGCACCTAGTAAAAATGTCCTAGCTACGTGTCTAGATACGACTGAATGGAAACTGTCCAACTATCGGTTTATCCATGATGGATCCAGGTATGTTAATCCACGTAAATAATATAAAAGACACTTAGCCGATAAACAAATAAATAAAAAAATTTGATGTTAACGCCGATAACGGATTACAACACAGTATTTTAATGACGAGGAACGAAATAGATTTAAAACCGACAATTTTCACCTGTAGATTAATGCGTGATAAGCCAAATCGGTTTTGCTCCGTGTTCTCCTGTCAGGTGGATTTATCATACAGAAATTAAAATAATATAGGTTTAGGTACTTATCATTAATTTAATCGCCGTCATCCGGCGGCGTTACGTCAACAAATGTTTATCCGAAGTTCGTTTAACCGTTAAATAATAACATAACACAATTAGTTATTGATAATAATATTATATTCCCGTTCAATGTTCAAAACGGTATTTCATAATGTGCTGCCCGAGTCCGTAAACACTATCGTTGTTTTTTTTTTTTTTTTCATTCCTAGATTGAACAACACGCTGTTGTAATAGTATTGGTTGTTCACTTAGAAATAAAATAATAATAATAAAAAAAAAAAAAAAAAACCATTACTCGTTCAAACACTCGGAATCCGTACGAATTTTGGATCTTCGAACGTGGTTTTTTTTTTTTTATCATAGGTATTATAATATTTGAACAGTCGCAACAAAATGAAAGGGAAAATCGAACGGAAACAGTGGGAAAATGAAGACCGGTATAATAGGATATTTAATTGGATATTGTTCGCAGAATTAGAAAGGGATTTTACGTTTCTATACGTGGAACTAAAGGAAGTCGCTACGGACCGAGAAAAACGGAAAGAAACGCAATTCAATCAATCCGAGGATTGAAAAAAAATCTACTTGTATATTATATTTGCGGTATTTATAATTTTGTAAGAATCCAAATAAAACTGCTCGCATCAATTTATATATTTATACGAGGGTTTGCATTACAATTTGCAAGAGAGTACGTTACGGGTTATATTGCCCCCCTTCCGTTGGCTTTTTAACTATTAACAATTAAGAGTAGGCATTTATCTAGTAATCTAATCAGGAAATGTATATCCGGCGAATTACAGGAAAAATCTTGATTTATTGATTAAAAATCGGATATGGTTTCCTGTTGTCGAGTTATGCAAAAAAAAAAAAGCTTCTATAATAAAAAGATTCTATAATTGTTAATACTTGTTAATACATTTCATCCCGTTAAAAATTCCAGGCCATGCCACCGATTACATGTTTACACAATGTCCAATAGACATGATTGGTGGCATGAACTCATAGGCGCCTGATAGGAAAGACAAAAAGGTCGTTTGTTCCGGCTTTTTGTCATATTTAAATAATTTGTTAGTGTTTTTTTTTTTCTATCGAATTACCTACATATAAGGTATAAAATATTGAATCTGCCCCTTCCCTCCAACAAAAATTCTCGGGAGCGGACTCTAATGTATAAACTTACCTATATCATGTGCGAGACAATTATCGACAACTTAATGATAAAAAATCCTACGATCTTGCATTGTTATTTTCAAATAAATCCAGACAATTTAACTCGCATTTTTGTAAAACATTTTTTAAGCTTATGTGGACTGGAAGCAGTGATTTTCTGTGTTTGTCTTACACGTGTGTAGGAATTTGGACGTGTTCTGTTGGTTAGGTTTCCAACGTTCGTACGATCTAGGGAAGTGATAACAATTCTTCCGACGATTAAATAAAAATATTCCATTTTTTTATAATACTCCTTCTTTTTAGATTTAGGAGAATAAAATAAAAAATTCGTTCAAGTCGATTTCAAGTAGACTCGTTGACAAATAAAAAATCCCTTTCATAATAATTCCTGTCGCTTCACTAGATTAATCGACACGTAGGAAATAGAACACGTATGTAAATTCCTATGTCGCACGCGTGTAAGACAAAGACAGGAAATCACTTCATTCTTTTTCGAGTGCCTCACATTTCCGGGCCAACCAGCTGAACCATCCCGCCGCTAATTAAAAAAAAATATAACACAAAAAACTACGAGTCCTCACAATCACAAATCTACTGTCATTCCACTACCTACTCAATTAGGCATACTTTGTTATTATTTTAGATTCTGAGTGGAGCGAAACATCATTACAATGATATTCATTTTTTTTTTCTGTGGACAGCTTTTCTATCAGCAATTTAGCTTAGATTTACAATGTTGGCACTTTTTCTAAAAGGAAATCTGATTAGGAAAGTACTTTAGATTTAGGGCGGTCGTTTTTTGATTTTCCCTGGAGTTTTCCCAACATATGGGGAAAATATGGTCAAAACAGGAAAATAAGTACAATATTAAATAAATGTTATTAAAGAAAATGTTTAATGCATACCTATATAGTTATTTTATTAAAATATGACATATATTGTTGACAAAGCAACGCTATCAACCGAACTCCCATCAGAATCGTTTTTTCGTTAGCAATGGATAATTGTTGCTTATAGATAAATATTAAATTTCCGTTTATATCCTACATTCCCAAATTCCGACCAACAACCTTGGCTGAAACCGTCCCCTGCATTATCCCAGAACAGCTTTATATTATTTGTAAACCGTAAAAGTCGCCCGACCCATCGCGAGATTATATCCCAAAAGCTCGCTGTAGGCTGCTTTCGGCCGTGTAGGTAGGTACAGTTTAATTTATACATAGGTACAGAGTTGTGCATAATATACTAGGTAAGTAGGTATTACAGGTATCTACATAATTTGTTTTCTCGTAAAATTCGTATATTATTATAAAATATTAAAATGTTCGTAAAAAAAAAAAAAAAAACAAAACGAAATCGAAAGTCGACGGGATTATTTAAATTTCGCGCTCGGTGTGCGGCACAAAATATATCCGTGGCATTTAGCAACATCACTCGTATTATAATTAGGTAGCAAGATTTTTTTTTTTTTTTATTGTGCGAGAGAGAGTTGGAACAAGAATCCAGTTGATTATTCGCTAACCATAATAGACAGAAAATAAATGTTTCATTAGGTGTTGTACATAATTAATATTGTATAATTATAATGTATTGCAGGTGTTCGACAAGCACAACAGGGGATACATAAGCGCTTCGGATCTGAGAGCTGTACTCCAATGTTTGGGCGAGGATTTGTCTGAAGAAGAAAGTAAATATTACAAATTCAAAAAATATACACTATTTATTTTGTGTAATGACCGATGGAGAGTATTATAGTAATGCGTATTAATATTTGTTCCTATAGTCGAAGACATGATTAAGGAAGTAGACGTGGACGGCGACGGAAGGATCGATTTTTACGGTAAGGTCGTCGTTATCGTATCGTTAAAAAAAAAAAAAACGACATTATAACAACACGTCGCGTTTCCATTTTTTTTTGCTCGAAGATTTACCGTAAATAGTGCAAGACTTTAATATCTGCGCTCTCTCGAAAAATCCCGAATTTAGGTACCATATACCTATTTAAGGTGATTAATGTCGTAAAATTATCCCAGACAGAGAGAGAGAAAAACGTTCTTTTAAAACGCGAGGTATTTTATAAAAAAAAAAAACACATAAGCAGTTACGTGTCGTTTTATATCAAAGTAAAAATTATCCTTTAACCCAAAATTAAAAATTGTTTTATTTAAATTTTCTCGTATGTTTTATCGGTTGATACAGACAGTTGTTTAAGATGTAATAAATAATAAAAAAAAAAAGACCTGATACGTGGGATGGGAGAGGCCACTGTTGTAGGTGAGAAGTTGGGAACTTTGTATACATAAGGTTATTTCATTTATATCCGTTAGAAACGATAAACCATTGCTTGACGAAAGACGATTCCGAGCGCAGTTTGGTAATACTTAATTTGAAGTGCCGTAATTTTTTTTGCGATTTTTGTTTAAATTTGATTTCAAAACGCTCATTAAAAAAAAAAAAGTTGTCCGGTGATTTTGGAAATTTGACCATGTTTAGGTAAGTTCAATATAAATATTATTACTAAGTTTCAAGACTATGTGTATTTGTAACCGACTTACAGCAAAAAAAAAACTCCTAAAAATTAAAATTCCTTAAAAGCTCAAAAGTTTTGGCAATGATTCCGTAAGAAATTAAATCAAAAAGACAACAAAAAAAGGTGTCTTGTGATTTTTCGATTAAATCATTTTTTCATCTCATTAACTCATTAACAATAATAATTGTTAATCGACATTAATTAAATGTATATTGTATCATTAATAATATACAGGTTATTCCACTGAGATACACCCATTGTAATATGAAAATATTATAATAAAGACAATCAAATTTTCTTTATTTTGGTAAAAAATTGAAAAAAAATAAATTCAATTTTTTTTATTTTTGAAAAATTTGAAGACTGTCAATGTATAGAGTTTATTATCTTCTGAACGTTTTGACGTATGAACCTTTTATTTTTATTAAATTCATGATTTTTAATAATTTTGAAAGTGCAGAGAAAAATACATATATTTATATGCAACAAACTGTAATTGCATTTTATAATTAATTATTATCATTACAATTAATTGACTGTACATTTCTTTTCCCTGGACTTCAAAAAATTATTAAAACTTCGAATTTAATGAAAATAAAAAGTCGATACATCAAAATTTTCAGAAGAATAAACTCTATAAAATGGCTTTATTTAAACTTTTCAAAAATAATAAAATAAAGATTTTTTACCAAAATATAAATAATTAATTGCAATAAAAATATTTGTAGTCCTTATCTCAGTGAGTAATATACATAATATATATAAAAAAAAAAAAAAAACATAATTTGATTATCTTTATTGTCTCCCGAGATATTACAATGAGTATATCTTCGTGAGACACCCTGTATATATAGTGCTATTCTGTTGTAATTTGAATAAGCACAACGTGAACAATAAAAAAACACTTGAACATAACATGGAATTATGGATCGAGTGACGATGCAAAAAAAAATTATAATTGTATTCGGGCACTCAACATAATGATAATATTATGAAAGGTACTCAACCTACATGTATGTGCTTATCGTAAAGGTATTTAAAATAATCGACTCTCCCCCCCCCCTGATTAAAACATAATTATTATTACCTGATAAATAGGTAATAATATAGGTGTAACAAAAAATCACAATTCTGTAAATAGGTATTACCTATATCGGTTAAATTGGTTAATATTATATTAATATTTAATAACTATATAGGTAAGTGGGTAGGTACTTATAATACATTCTCAAACGAATGTGGTATTAAATGATTTTAAATATTATAGTCTTAAGCGTAGTGATAAATTTACTCGTTAATCGAGTTATTATTTCTAAACACATCAATCATGCGTGTTGTAGTACTGTAAAAGTGGGTAACATGGGACTTGTGGCAGAAATATTGTTTTTGCTTTTGGTCTTAGGTACAATTGTAATCAGTTTGCTATTATGTTCGATAAGAATTTTAATTCAAGTTACATTTTTAAACATACCTATGAAAAAAATCACAAATTATTTTCAATTCTGAAGCTCTATTTCAAATCGTATTATATTTATATAAATTATAATTTGACAAAAACACGTTCTGTTTTCTCTTCTGTTGTATGAAACTGTGTAAGAAAAATCATAATCGCATTAAACGCATTAGAGTTAAAGACATTTTATTACTTAAGTGTTACTCGGTGCATACAACCTAATCTAATGTTTTTGTACTATCATTTTATACATGTAATAGTGATTATACTCATTATAATCAGTTTAATAATTTTTTGATGTGTTATGTTGTTTTGTCTTATAGTTTAAAAGTAATTTTAAAGACTGGATAAAAAGTATCTATTTAATTATTTGTCTAATTAATAAGACAAAGTTGGTAATATTTGTAAATTGTTATAATATTAATAATAAAAAAATTAATTTTCAATATTGAATTTCTATTTGTATATGTCCTTACCTAATTATGACACATAAAACATTTTGATAATTGAGGGGGTGAGTGCAAGAAAAGCTTTTTCACGGAAATGCCCTTTTTGTTTAAAGTGTTTTATTGAACTCAGCGACCACTATACTTCATGTGTACACAATTTTAGTTCAAAATTTGTATAATAGAGCACTGTAGAAGCGTTTACGTGATTGTGTGTAAATGCCTTTCTTGCATAGAACCACATACTATGTACGTTATATTTGTAAATAATATAATTTTATCTTTCAATAATTTAAAAATAAAATAATATTATGGTAGACAACCTTGTTATTTTTCGTTGTAGATTTATAGGTTTAGTAAAAACATTTTCTAAATAAAACTAAACATTAAATAATTAATATAATATTGAAAATTAAAAGTAATAAAACATACAATTTATATTTGTAATTTTATTTGTATTCTTATAATTATTATTGTGTTTATATTATTCAAAAGTTATAAATAAATGAAAAAAATTAAAGTTCTTCATTTTAATTGAAATATAATAGATAATTACTGTTTGATGCAAGGACATTTTGATGATCATGACCATATCTCATTATTTAAAACTAAGTGGACATAAAAAAAAACAAAACAAAGACATAATTATTTTCTTTAAGATTCGATCTTTCATATAACACAAATTTTATAACCATGTGAGTAGATCCAAAAGAGTGTCACACATTTTAAACTTACATTTCGCTTTTCTCAAAACATATTTCTAGAAAATGTTGTTCTTGTGCACAGCCCCTCATATTCTTTCATACCTATGTAAAATGTTGTGAGGAAAACATTTTGTTTTCACTTAATTTGACCCAAGCTACCAAAGTCACAAAATTGTACAGATTTCCCCTTTCATTACTAACTTGGGGCAGAAATAAAAAAAATATATCTACATAAAATCAGGAATTTTAGTATACAAGTTCAAATTTAAGTTTAGAATCATAGAAAACTTTTGATATAAATATTGGCCCCATATGATGATTATTTTACTGAGATATTTAATGTCCAAGTTTAAAACCAACCCAAGTTACCTACTTTATAGTAATCACTGCAATAATATTAATGGTTAACGCACTAAAAAGGTAAACACATTACAACAATAAATTAAAACCCATCAATACGATAATTATTTGATTTTTCTCAGTTTTTGATAAATCAAATATTAAACAAATTTTGTGTTTTTTAGACCAATTTCAGAATGCATATTTTCTTAGTGCATTTTTAATGTTTATCATTCTGTGTTATATTTTTATGTTTATACTATTTTATTCCAAAATGTTAAAAAAACATTAATAAAATGTGTTCTCATATTCTTGTTTATTTTTAAGCAAAGAATATTCTATATTATAACTAATATAATTTCCTCTTTAATTCAAGTTCTAAATAATTAAATTATATATATATATAAAAAAAATGTTTTATTGTACTTTTTATAATATATTAGAAAATAAAATGTATACTAGTGTAAACTAGTATAAGAAAACCTATTGACTTAAAAACATTTCAGTATTGTAATTAAATTAAATGATTACGTTGAAAAATAATAAAAATATAATAATATTATGATCACTATTTTAATGGAACAGAATTAATTAATTTTTTATTGTTTTAGAATTTGTCAATGCCCTGGGAGAGCCCGGAGATGACTACGATGAAAATGACGAGGATGAAGAAGACATTTATCCCCAATTGGAAATTCAAACTTAGCTTTCGAATAATTACAATGCCATGTATTACTGTTATAAAAGTATTAAAATAAGATCAAGTTAAAATTGAATTAAAAAAAAAAACAAATCGATAACGATATGTTTTGTAAACATTGGTCGAGAGTTCAAAAACTTAGCCATGTAATAATTTCCATCAGGAATAAATGCACCAATATCTGTTTATTTTTTATTTTTACTAACTAATGATCTCTTATCAAACATATTTTACTTTAATATCAAATGTAACACCACAGTAGTTTTGTTAAGCAATTAAAATTATTTTCAACGTCTAAATTGTGTAAACTTATCATTCGGTGGAACAATCAACAATTTGACTAAGACCATAATAATATTTATGTATATAAAAAAAAAAACTTTTATCATTAATTTCTCACAATTATAAATTGTAATCAACAAATAAACATTAAATTATATCTATTTATTTTAAGAAACTATAAAAAGTTATTGTTCAATTTTTCATTAGTGTTTATTACAATAGTGTACAAATCTATTTACTTCCACTGAGTGTATGTATAAATAGAAAAGTTAAGGTAACTTGATTAAAACAAAAATTTCGATGAAGTATTTTTACTTTAAAAAAGTTACACAATGATTATATTGTCAGTATACCTTACAAAAACAATGATTTCATATGCTTGAAAAATTCCTTTGCTCCACTTTCTTTGTGAACTAAAATTAAATACATTAAGAACCAGAGTATTTTTAAAGGAAATAATCAGCTGCATGTTTCTTCATAGGCATTCCTCTATTTTCTTGTGGGGCAGCCTCAAATATTGTGAAATCTCTTTGGAGTGTCTCGCTAAGTTCTAATATTGCGGCAACATTACCACATCTAATAAAAAAAAATTAAAAAAAAAAAAACAATATATATATAAATATTAAATATAACATATTTAATAAATGAATCAACGATTATGTTGACACTTGCGGTATATGTTGACATTTACCGATAACAGTAATTGGGTGCCGACCATACAGTAAGTACGGTTTCGTCAAAATGCCATTTATATCCTTCCATGACTAGTTGATGAGCTCGACAAATAATATCTATATCATTAGTAGTATTAAATTGGGAGACAACATCAGAACCAAATAGGTAGCCTGCACCTCGAGGACTGACACCCCATCCTTGAGTGTCTGCAAAATTGTTTTATGTTTTATGACTACTGATGACCAACTATTATTAACTCGCATTAGCTCACTTTCAGGATCTGACCATAATAAATCGCACATAGGACCATCGTGAGGAACTTCTTGTTTTCTATCAATAGTTCTAATTTGATCCAAAGTTTGTATCGAAGGGGATAAACCACCATGTACACAAAATATCTAATTAATAAAATAATAAAAATAAATTAAAACAGAACCATAAAGAAAAAAAGAAAAATGTACTTTTCCATCGATAATGGCAGATAAGCTCAGGTAATCAAAAATTTCAGTACAATAACGCCAAACAGCGACACTATTATATTTTCGTAGGCATTCGTCATAAAAGCCATAGACTTGAGTAATTTGTCGCGACTCATGATTACCACGTATTAATGTTATTCGATCAGGATACCTCACCTATAAAAATAATTTAACGATTATTTATTATAAATATATACACAGAAAAAGGTTAAGAAAAAAATATATACAATAAATATAAATAAATAATTTACAAACATTGAATTAGTTAAACATATTTTAATAGATTAGTATAATTTTTTTTCATTAAAATAATTTATATATAAAGATTAATATTGAAACTCTTGACTGTTAATAATTGCAAAGAACTTTTATTTAACTATAAATTTATAATAATAAATAAATAAAAATATTTAAATATTTAACTTTCTCTTGGGCAAAATCTAAATTAAATATTATAACAAAATGTTGATTAGATTTTTTTTTTTTGGTTTAAATATTTCTAATTTCACTTAAGATTCTGAGCAGAATCAGGATAATATTTTATGGTTTAAAAATTATAATGATATATTTTTAATTTTAATCAAACCAAAGTAAATTTGTTGCTAAATTTGAATTAAACATAAATATTCAATCAAAACAAAATGTCAACTAGTTATATGTTTAATTAACTTCACAAGTTTTAATTAATTCATAAATTGCATAAGTATACTGTCAGTTTAATTTCGATAGGCTAGGTTTTTTTTTAAAATTTGTGAAAAATAGAAAAAAAATCACATCATCAGGCGGTTAATGTGTAACTCTTGAACTTATTAATAAACTAAATATTTAACTTATTAAAAATAGGTATTATACATCGGCATAATTTGATATTGGATATTAGGTTCAATACTGATATTTGGCTAGATATTTAACAAATTGTCATTCGTGTTTCAATAAAATGGTGAAAATATATCTGGTTAAATTAAATATGAACTCATGGTTTTAGATTTTAGATATAATATCAGATATTGAAAAAAAAAAAGTCATATCGGCTCATTATAGATAAAAAGTTTTATCAAAGATGGACAATTTTTAAGAAGATGTAGCCTTCATGTAAAGTATTGATGTGTTTATGGCATTTAGAAAAATAAAATAACAAGTTCATAGAGAAATATTGTTTTATGTTGTATGTTGAGACAGTAAAATACTAGTAAACTGGTAATTTCGAAATGACCTACACTAATTAAACATTTTTGTTTTCTTCTAAAAAAACTTTCCATTTGCAACAAAATAAAAAAATACAAATTAGACTGTTAATATAGAATATTTTTGTGGGTTGAGAAGTTCTCCTGTACTAATATTATACATCAATACATTTTGTCCTAGATTACAACTTATTTTAAATAGTTAATTAAAATACATTAAAAAATGATCAACTGTATATTTGTATTCAAAATAACTATTAAATTGGGAAGTACAAGATAAAGTTGATTTGTATACTTTTAAAGCGAGAAGAAGTAAAAATGTCTCGACACTGAAGAATCCTCGATCAACAAAGTCACCCATAAATAAATAATTTCTTTCAGGAACATCTCCACCGACTTTAAACAATTCTTTTAAGTCGTAGAACTGACCATGAATATCCCCGCAAACCTGAAACATTTAGTTAGATTAAACATTTGTAAATTGTTCAGTACAGTATAATTTGATGGTAAATAGAATACCAGCAATTTACTTATTGTCGTATTTGTATTGCGAGTGTAGTGTTCTACAATCAAATGTGATGGTACGTACCGTAACGGGAGAGTCGACACGTTGTACATTACTTTCTTCAATTAGTATTTCACGGGCTTTAGCGCACAACGCCTTCACCTCATGCTCCTGGATGATTTCGCATCGCTTGAGCTGTTCAATTTGTCGATCCAAGTCACTGTTTGAATCGTACATCTTAGACATTTGGAATAAAGTCAGAGTGGGTAACGGTAGATCAAATGGGCTCTGTATACATCTGCTGTAGGACCCAGTGTCGGCGTAAGTGACCAATTAGTTACGAGCAAATTTTACCACATATTATGGCTTAAATGGATACTCACACACATTACCTTACGCAAAGTCGTTGACGGTTGAATTCGGTTTCGCGGATCAATTGCACATTATCGTCGTGGTGCAGGTGAGAATTGGATCGGCGAAAAACTAAGTGGTACGACAACAACAACGGGAACCGGCGTTATCTGACACGACAGTCTGGTTCGTATTATTACGGGAATACGAATAGTTTTTCAAAAAATTAACGTACACGTTCGAAATCCGGACAGAAAATTATCGTTCTACAATGGGGGAAAACGCACGTATTCGGTATTTGACAGATCCGTACGTAGGTGCGAAAAAAAACGTATGTATGTAAACTTATCGGATGTTTACACGCCGATTATGGACAAACCGCGACAGTTGTGCGCATGCGTGCGCCAGGTTGTCACCAACGGCTGTCGCGAAATATCCCTTGATTTTCGAACACGTTCCGGGTTGCCCGCGCAATCGTACACAGATATGAAATGTTTTCGCGGTCAAATACGATTTATTATCATGCCCCCGTTTTCTGTTTATTCGTACCCATTCCGTTCGTATTAATGTCTAATGTATTGACGTTGTCTAGTGAACGTTTTGATTGTCCGAGATATTCGACGGGATTTTATAATAATTTCAACACCAGTGATCAAAGATAAATTACCTATCTCTAATTATTGTGTACTGTAGTAAATAATAGTGATAAGAAATAAAATCACAGTAGCCGGCCCGTGTTGCAAGTCATTCACTAATATTCACATTCACGAGTGTCTAATGAGCAATGCGCACCGGGTTGCCTATTCGATAAGCAAAATTTCCTGTTAGCCCGTGTTATCATAATAGTATTATCGTATTTCTTATCGTTATTTATTTTTACAACAGTGTAATTAAATTAAACGACGACATCTATGAAAATTAAATTTATCCAAAGATTCACATATGAAAATATTATAATAATGTAAAGGAATCCAATGGCCGTGTTTCAGTGGATAAAAATCTGGAGTCGGCCAACAAAAAAGACGAAAACATATGATAAAAACAAATTCGAGTTTTTAAAATCGTCTCAATGACAATAATTAAATTAGCGTCACACCAGATTTCGAAGGGTTTAACTGAAGGACTGATCATTTTACGATAAGTAAATAAGAAGCGGTAATCTGTTTCTCGCGTCATTTTAACTACCAACTGATCATACTGATTGGTTCATTAGCTCATATCACATTCTGATAACAATGTATTTGTTTAATTTACCTATGACGGTTTTAATAATCATTTTATTATTCATCAACGTCGTTAAACGTCGTTGTTAAAACTAATTATATTAAATAATATTGTTGTAGGGTAAATAAATCATGGCGATGTGTTTTGAGTAGCGATGGGCACTACTGAATGAAAACTATCGATCCGTTTATCGAACAATCGGTTTAAAAAAAAAATTCATCTGCATACAGGTATACGATAATAATAATATTATTCTTACTACTTCGAATACTTGTCCGATAGTTCAAAGTATTCGGTCACGTAATTATTCATTCGAATGTAGTCGACGGTCAAAATTATTCGGTTGTGTCCATCATCAATTTTGACTGGACGGATGGAGCGATTGACAATGTAAATTTTTATATTCTGATTGAATTGTTTTGGTATTGGTTTTATAACGATGTTTATTTTTTTTTTTTATCTGTGAACAACTTTTCTATCAGAAATCGTGCTCCTATTTACAAATGTAGCACTTTTTCTGAAAGGAAATCTGACTGCGGCGGTACCCTTTAAGGTGGTAATTTTTCGATTTTTCCAGGAGTTTTCCCAACGAACGGGAAAAAACGGGAAACACGATATTAAACAAATACCTATTATTAAAGAGAATGTTTAATGCATACTATGTAATTGTTTTACCATAATATTATATATTACACATATATTGTTGACAAAACAACACTAACAACTGAACTCTACTCAGAATCGTTTTTTTTTTCGTTAGCAGGGGGTAATCGTTGCGTACAGATATACAATAAATTTCCCCTCTACTACCTTCCCAACTTCTCACCTACAACAGTGGCCCACCCACGTACGAAGTATGTCCGTCTTTTTATTTTGGAAACTGTTCGTATTATATCGTAGCAGGGAATTTCTATAGATCGTTGGAAATCGAAATAGACAATTATTATTATAAATCCACGTGTATGTCTATGGTCTGTCTATACGTATTTTACTACACAAAATTCAAACGAACAAAGTATCGCTTAAACAAATTAAATCGTAATCAACTGCAAACATTTTTACTAACAAAATATCTGTACTGTCTTAACGTTCTTGAAAAAAACCAAACAATTTTCCGGTTAAAATACCGGTATTATTAATTTCGGTTCCAAGCTCCGATTAATGATTTTGAATTGAATTTTATCATAACTATTTTAACATTATTTTTCATACACACGCGCTGTGTTTGTAGGAAATCTATATTTTTTTCTGCTAATTAGTTATGAAATACGTGGATCACACACATTTTAGTCGTTACTGTGAAAAAGCTTATTGGGTTTTAGGGGGGGGGGTGTGGTTCCAATTTTAAACTTGGGGGCGCTAATGTCACCCTCCCTTAGTTGCGTATATGGCTGCACCTGAAGTTAAATCCTGGAGCTACCTGTGATGTCTGGAAACCTATTCCATATGACTTCCAAATCTAGAAAAACAATTATTGTTTATTAAAACACTCTTCCGATTAGTTCGTGATCCCGAGTCCGTAAAGACCACGGATATTATAAATTATATTATCCGTGAGTATAGGCAACTCCGTACGCACGAATTGTGATAAGAGAATATTGTTCATTCGGGTTGCCTATAGCGCGTAGATAAAAATTTGTATTGTCTATAATTCCTAGACGCTCGATTAATTTTCTCTGCTTTAATTTAAAATCGCGTTATAAGTAAAAATAGTACAATGACGGTTTATAATGATTATGCGATTTAATAATAATATTTTTATCAATAATAAATACTATTATTGATCAATATTTGTAGATTAAAATTAAAAAAAAAAAAACATTTTTGGTTTTTTGTTACGATGAAATATAATGATTTTAACATTTTGGTTATTTCACGCGCGTAACTGTTTTAGTTTATTATTTCGTGATAACGACAAGTGACTATGTTGATATTGTCGGTCAATTTTTATTTTTTCATTATTTTCGTTAAAATTGCCTATACCGGACTCCTTAAATAGTCGACTGTCGAGTAAAAACTTTTCTCTTTCACAAACGTTTGAAATTCAAACGTCGTCGATGAAAATCGCAATAATTGTCACCAAAATATCAAACACGTACTGTTTTTCGATTTGTGGGAATTCTTTTATTTAAGCCTTTCGACAAGTTTGAATTTCGTAAAAAACTCGTAAAAAGCTCAATAAATCGTAATTATGGTTTGTATCAATAGTTAAAAATGTTAATGAAAATGTTCAATTCAAATTTACCAAAAATAAAACGAATTTTATTGATCATTAAACCGTTTTAAAATACAGTTGTCAACCCTCCTACATTGGGAAGGACTCTCCCGCATAAAATTAAGACATTTCGTTTGATTTGTCCAACAACGCTTTAAAATTTATGTAAGACAATCCTGAACAACTGAAATTTCGGTACATAGAACTGAATAAATTTTGTGGCAAAGAGTGGTTTGCTTGGAAAACATACATTAATTATTCATATATATATATATAATCTGTTGGTGTTACAACTTTAGATTCTGAGCGGAGCGAGTAGGTAACGCCCGGTAGGTATACCGGGAATTCAGAAGACTGATGCGGCCGTCCGCCATTCAATGTCCGTTCGCCGCGGCCACGCCCGTCGGCCGGTCGACTGCTCCGGCGATTCCGTTACTTTCGGTATTTCGGTTTTCGGTAAAAAAAAAAAAAAAAAAAACCCGTCAAAACCTTTCCCGTTTTTGGTTTTCTCGATCATTAAACGGCTGTATGTAAACTGCGGCAACATTTCCCATTTTCTAAGAGTCCATATGTAAACTGCGGCAAAAACAAATAGCGCCGTCCGAAATATGACGGGAAATACATGTAGCGGCTAAAACAAATGGATGACGGCGGGCATGTGATGTACGTAATGTATGGAGTGACTCCGAATCACAGCGAAAATTCGGTTCGTCCCTGACCACAGTAATACATAAAAACTACATAGCCGACCCCGTATACAATTATGATGCACAGCACCATTTGTCACTTGACCATTTGCCACTGTGTTTACACACTCTATCGTTGACGTGATTCATGGTATATATGGACAGCATACAAATGATAAGAATTTGTAAACAATGCCCGAGTGACGAATGGCGCTGGACATTATGATTGTATACATTGTTGTACACGGAGTCGGCTATCAAGTTTTTATATGTATATATATATATATCTGTGTATGGGACCGTTTTTTATCTTATAAAATCAATAAAACTATGATACGTTCACAGTAATGTTGATAAATTACTTGTAACGCGCTTTACGCAGAATTTTACGCTTAGTCATTTGTACAGTGTACAATATGTCAAATATTTTTTTTTTTTTTGATTTTCAACATTTGTGCATTGACATGGATGGAAAATGGTAAATGCGTATAAATAATGTTATTTTTATGTTTTTCACATAATTTATACAGATAGTTATTTATTTTTTTTTTTTATTGGTTATTTAATATTTTAGATTCCGAGTGGAACGAAGAAGCTTACGGTTTTACAGAGATGTTTATTCTTTTTTCTCAAGAGTTTTTTCATCAAATGCGAAAAACCGAAAAAAACGGAGAAAGAAAGGAATAAAATGTAAGAAATATACTAGTAAATTATTATAATTTTATTTTTTTCTATGGACAACTTTTCTACCAGCAATTGCGCTCCAACTTATAATGATAGCTATTTTTTTAAAAGGATATTCCACTGAGAACGTTCTTTAGAGCGGTCGTTTTTCGATTTTTTTCTGAGTTTTCTCAAAAAATTTGATAAACCGGGAAAAACTGGGGAAATCGGTACAACATAAAACAAATATTATCAAAGAAAATATATAGAGTCTATTTAATTATTTTTCTATAATATGGCATATATATTGTTGACAAATCATTACTATCAATTAAACTTCGTTCAGAATTATTTCGTAAGCAATGGTTTGTTATTGCTTACAGTTATACATTAAATTAACTTTAATAGTACACCTTCCCCATTATTCTAGAACGACTTTTTAGGAAATAAAATAATATTGCTAAAAAAATGTTGAATTATGTCATTTCAAAAATACGTCTATGATATTGGATATACTCTTAGGTATATAATGTATTTTGTTTTATTTGCGTGGACTTGCGTTGGAATCTGATATGACTGTTTTAA